TTAATGCAAGTCAGAATTGCATCTACAAGCCTGCATCTATCGAAGACTACATATTTCTAAAAAAAGCAAACAAGGAATTATGGCCAGAGGATAAAGTCAAATTCAGAACCTTGGTCACTTTTAGAACTAAATTACTATTTAACTCCCTCTCAATAAAACACAAACTTCATAAGAGGTATCCCTCAACATATTCTGATCAAAAATGTCCAAGATGTGGTCACAGAGTTGAAGACATGATACACATAATTAAATGTCCCAAAAGCAAGGAAATGATCCACAAAGCTATCTCAAAACTAAACAAGCTAATTAACCAGTTCCAAAAGAAAAAACATGGTAAAACCATCACGTTAGAAAAAAATTTTCCATTAGATACAGAAGGAAGCAATTTACTTCAACAGCCCTAACCATACCTAATGAGCATCTGAACAAGATTACTAGTAACAAATTAAAAATCAAAATAGCTAACAAATCTCTTAAAGTTATATACAAAATTTGGAAACAACGCTTAGCCACAGCAACCACATCTCCACAGACTGGTATTAAATGGAAGAAGAGTAAAGCAAACAAAAATAGTCTCCCCAAAAAAGAAAATAATAACAATCATGACCAGAGTTACAATATATTTAACATTATCTTGGACATAATGGAAATCAATAACAACTCTACAAACTTATCAATTTTTATACCCACTGTAATTTCATCATTTTTGAATGAGCATTAGTCATTCGACCTTGCTCTGGCCTCCCCAGTCACAGATTGCAAGGGTGTCATAACAAGAAAATCGCAATAGGCTATAGTTAACCTACTATTTTGTAAAGACTATTAATGTAATGTTTATGAATTGAATTTCTAATAAAAACCTGCATTTAATGCTCATTTGCGATAAAAAAAAATATATATATTTCATTCTTACTCTGCTTCTTTAATTGGATTAACTTATAAATTAAGTTCTATGAAATGAATAATATATAAAAAACAAGTTTTCAGGTGATAAAAAAGTTACTATTTGTTCAAATAAAAATCTTTTTTTCTTATTATTCCAGTTAAACAAAGTTTAAGATCAAGATCTCTTTCTTATCAATTAAGCAATAAGATCAAATGTTCTTTAATTTATATTAAGCTCTAATTATTTGATTATAGTGAAAATATATTTTTTCAAAAGTTGTTGAAAAATATCATAATTAATGAGGATTTTCTTTGTTGTTTACTTTTACATTATTATAAAGCAAAAAAATTGTTGTGAAATTAATTTTTTGAATAATGAAAGATATTTATTTATAAAATTACTTTAATTAGATATAGATGCTAGAAAATATCATATTGAAACAATATGGTTCAGTCCCTATTGGACTATATAAAAGCTGAAGCTTATTATAGATCACATTTTTACTATAGATGAATAAAAAATCACTACACAAAGAAGATTGCAATTAAGCATATTGCTGAAAATAAAGACTTTCACTTGATGATAAGTCTTCTTAGATAATATACAAGAAAGAAATCAAAATAAAGAATGGATAAGTTTCTTAGATAATTAGAAGAAGAAAGAATATTTCAATTGAAAATTTCTTATTGAAAACAAGTCTTGAGAAGTAGATCTTTAAATGAAACTGGAGAATTAATTTTTTTATTTTTTTGTCATCTATTTGAATATTTTTAGATATCCTTTTTCACTTTTTTTCAATTTATCCTTTTGTAGTTTCCTGTATTATAATAGTTTGATAGGACATTTGATAGTAACAACCTGCTAATGATGAAGTGGTAAACTAGGAGGATATTTACCCAAAAACTATCATGAAGTGAAATATTTGTTTTCAAGATCAAATTTAAAAGCTATTACTGTTTATGATGAATTTATTAGATTTAATAGAAATGTTTAACTATAATGTGTATCATGCTGCTCAAGTGAAAATGTACTTATGTTTTCAATGGATTAATAAACTACGATCTAGCCTGACTGCGGGTACTCAATAATAATAATAATAGTGATAATCTATTAACATGGTTGAAGTGATCGACATAAAATTTAAAATTTCACTCACTTGCTTCTAAAAAAAACTTTATAGATTTAGGAGATATTGAATTAGAGATAAAGGTAAAATTACTCTATCAATTTCAAAGTTCAAGTTAAATTACTATAAATACAAAATCTATTCCTATAATTTGTGTGACTGTTACAGTATATACAGTATTTGACAAGATTTTTGTTATTCTAAATCCATTTTTTCGAATACACGTTCTTGAATTTAATAAATAAAAACGAAAAAGGGATTAGAATTCTTATTGATCGATTACAGCTTTTAGGCAAAAAAACGAACCTTAAGACGATCAAGTATTGCGAAGAGCTGAATCCGCATGCCACTATTTTTGTTTGCTTCTATTTGTTAGTTTCATTGATAATAACGAAATTACATTCCATGCTAATGTAATTATAATAACGTAGTATAAAATCACCGGGTAGTGATCAAAATTATATGTATAGTTTAAAGGCTGCGTATGAATTTCAATCCACCTGAGGATTGTCGAAACATGAGTCAATTACTTATTGCAACGTTCAATGAAAATTGGTTACATACGGCCTTGGACTGATTTCCTTGAGATAGAATGCTTCGACAATCCATCTTTGCGGTGAAATCTAAGGAATGTTTTTCAATTATGATAATTATTATATTTAAGCATACTCTCAAGCAGTATTGTGTGAGAGAAACGAATCGTCACTTACAAACCACAGCCATCTCACAAATTTGAATGTATTATCGGACATGACAACATCCAATTTGGGTGATGCTCCATTCAACACCAGACCATAAGCAAGAGCCAATCCCGTGGCAGCTAATCCTAATTTTTCCCTTGCTACAACTGTAGACATAAAGTAACCTGCAAGGTATGATTACGTGCAGAATCTTTGTCATTTCGAGAAACGATATGCAAAAAAAAAAAGGAAATTGATAAATGGCATAATAATACCCATTGCCCATGACGCAAGGTATAGCAGTAAAACAATTAGATAGATTTCATAGAACGCGGCTCGGTACGCGTAGAACAATATGAATGCTAATGAGTACATAAGTGACGCTAGTAGAATTCGTGGAATGTCTGCAACAACTTTAGCCAAGAAATAAGGAATAGTTCGCATTCCCGCAGCTGTATCACGCCAATACACAACTCTTTCATATCCAAATGTTGTTGTTCCGGCTATTCAGAAAGGATTCGTTATTATTTTAAGAGGAAATCCGTTTCTCGTGCTAAATCGCATTTATCCTCATCTTACCATTCACTGCACAGAACGTGGCGCCCAGAGCCATGAAAATACCAACATCCTAGGTTTATTATTATTAGCATGAAAATACGGATTCAAAAAATGAATTACAAACCTACCTGAATTCCATCCGCCGCTGACAAACATGATGGCAAAACTATATAAGGAGTTACTTTGCAGAGGTCTTGTGGCACTTTTCCAATGTAATCTTGAGGACTGATTGCAAACGAAATAAACACACCGCTCACGAGGTGTACAGCTTGATCGTATAGAAAACCTGCTTTCTTTCGGTAAAGTTGCAAGCACGCTCTCTTGAATAGGAGTGCAAATGCAACAAAGAAATTCGGTGTTTCTCGAATAGGATCGCTTTTCCAAAAAAGGGAAGATCCCAGAAAACCCCAAAACTCGGTGAACACGTCAAAAGTGTATTCGTAGGATTCGTGATAAATGTGATATATTGATGAGACAAAGCCTGCAGATTTATCAGATGTTTGTTTGTGCATCAATTCTGTATCATCATCTTCTTCCACGTCTATCGTGTATTCATTCGTAGAGATTTCGCGTAATTCTTTACTTCGAGTGTCGTTACCCTTCCAAATTTCATGGAGATCGGCCACTGTCAGGTGCGACCTCCCGCTAGGTTTTACTGATAGATAAGAAGACTTCATATGAGAATAACCAGTTGGTGCATGTAAATTGATCTTATCTTATTTTTACCTTTTCCTGAGGCAATCTCCAACATAAAATCGGATGGACTAAAATTTACATATTATAGATGCATCATTAGCCGGCTCCAGAATATACTTTCATTTCAAATCATTGTAAGTACCTTAGAAAAGAGGGTTTCTCGTAACCGAGATTAATAAAATATTCGAGTGCCTTTGCTCGCTCGCCAAAATATATGCTCATCCCTCCTTTTCCCAACAACAGGAAATCATCGAATGTGTCAAAAGCCTGTGGCGATGGGGAATGTATAATTGCCGCAATCGTGAGCTCTTGCTGATGGGCAATGCTTTTCAATAATGTGCACACTTCAAGCGATGTGACAGAATCCAGACCCGAAGTTGGTTCATCCTATGATAAGGGAATAATTTTTGTTCGGTTAAATATTGCGGCTCAAGAAAAAAAAGACAGTTCTCACATCTTACCAAGAAAAGAATCGATGGTTCGGCGACAAGTTCCATTCCTATGTTTACACGCTTTCGCTGTCCACCTGAGATCCCTCTTTCCTCTGTGACAATGCGAAAAAAATCGTAAGTATCGAGATAGAGTACAGCAAATTTAAAGACGACAAACCTTCGTTTCCGATAGCTGAGTCCATCACATGATCCAATCCCAAAAATTTAATGATCTCAATAACCTTTCGTTTCTTCTCTCCGCGTTCCATGTCGGCGGGTAAGCGCATTAAGGCTGAATGCTAAACATTGTTATATGAAATCGAGGTGAATTTTTCCGGATAATCGCGCAATCACAACGCCTCGACAATGTGCATACTTTCGGCTTACCACCAAAATCTCCCGCACGGTTAATTCACGTAGCATTATATCTAGGGAAGGATCATCGATAGATTGAATTGCGTGGCATAGAAAACATGCTGTCGATCAATAAAATACGAACCCTCCTGAGGTACAAATCCAATGAGTTTTCGAAATTTCTCCAATGGCTCTATCACTCCATTAACTGTGCATGTGTACGCATTGCACTTGTTAGTATACGATATTAAAGTCGTGAAGTTGCAATCTGATGTAACAACCACCTTTCACTATTCCACTAGTTTTTTTTACCTTTCCCGTCAGTAGCGAAACAAATGTCGTTTTACCGGCGCCTGGAAACTTGAGTGAGGTAAATAACAAAATATCAATTTATTCAATAAACCAATACTAAAAATTTGCCCACCAATTTACCTGATGGCCCCATAATTGCACATGTCCTACCATGCAAAAGTTTTCCCGAGACACCCTGAAATAATAAAGATAGAGTGCGAAGACCAAAGTGAATACAAGAATTTTGGACCTCGAATTGTGATAAATGTACAATCACCTTCAGAATTTCAATGCCCATGGACGACACCAGACCTAGATTCCCAAATTCTATGTCAAAATGCCTTTTCACCGCTTCTAATGTTTTCGAGGATCGTACATTTTTCTCAACCAAAATTTGGCGGTACTTAATCTTCTTCAATTCATCATATCTTTTCTTGATCTGTAACGCTATCAACATTAACAAGGCCAGGAAAATGGCGAATACTACGATAAAATATTTGTCAGCAGTGGCTGATCCAGGGGGACAAATCGCGAGGTAATTGCATGAAATTGGATTCACAGTTCCTGTAGTTACGCAATGACGCAGTCCTCTTAATTTCATTTTTTCTAAAACGTCAGGTCAATATTAAACAACATAGCCATACCTCGGGCACAAAAATATCCTGCAAGGAATATTCTAGGTTAAAGGGTGAAAAAGAAAAGTTTTTTTCTGCGGTATCAAATGATTATCCCTACCAGAAGGACACAGAGTCACGTTGGTCGCGTCACTCGAGCAGTAGTAACCTGGGCAACAATACACCGGCTGTGCTATTTTAACGAAAATGCTTTCTTAAGAAAAGACAGTACAATCTTCGAAATTACATTGCTATGATACATACCACCTATCCGATTGAAGAGAGAAAGGAAAAGAGGGAAAAGTTTTTAACCCATTTGTCAGATCAGAAGCACACGAGCAAGGTGAAAAGACAATGTTTTGATACAGAACTATTTGGCGGACAAAGGAACCCCGGAGTACATTGAAATTTCGCATTGGGACCAAGGCAATAATATCTAAATAAACAACCAAATTTACACATATGTTTCTCATTTCAATAACTCAAATGATTTGCGAACTTAAATTTACCCAGCCTCACAATCCCAAGTTATGTTATATGAGTTTCCCCCTTTTTGTGGCGTCGATACATAAAGGCATTGAGAATTATCCTGCAATAAAATATGCAATGTGGATATTTCAAAACTAATTTATTTCTCAAGAATCCATCTTCCGAGTTCAACTTACATCAGTTCCGGGAACACTTTTTGATGAAACTAGCTGATTGTAGAATCGGGGATCTAATAATGCATTTATTACTGCCGCTTCTGGAACTGATTGCGTCCCATTCGTCAATATTCCAGAGGGAAGTGGGATGGCCGGTATTGTCGAAGAGGGCAAAGGTAGGCTACTTGTATATGTTGGTGACGTGATCAGAAAGGTCGATAATGTTGGATGCGACATCGTCGTTCTCTATGATAACAGGATTCCTAATAAATAAATTACAGATGCCAATGATAATTTCGATATACAGTATTTAAAATTTGAGGTCAATTGTTCGAGATAATTGAATTTTTTGAGAGAACAAATTGACGGACGGAAGTAAAAATATCACTATTGAGACCTAAACAATTCGATTGTTATCAAACAAAGATGAAATCTTTGAGGCGATTCTCGAAAATGAAGCCGAGGCTTATCGATTTGTTTGCATGCATGTCTAGCCATGGACAGCCTACTTGAAAAAGGTATGATTGGTACAAACAGCGAATTTGGAGAGACTTATGGAAATACATTAGATTGCAATGTATGCCTCAAATTAGATAATAAAGCCTCCGAAAAAAACACTAATATTAATATGGACATGATTTAGTAGTGCATAAAATGCGTACTAAAAAGTCATATTACGTATTTATAAAACGTATCGACTAAAGTATGTTTACAAAAACACATTGGTCAATAAGATTCCCTTTTGGAAAAATATTTACATTCGGAAAGAAGATTCTCTTTGGAAAAATATTTACATTCGGAAAGAAGATAACTTTATTGTGTTTACTTGGATAACTGAAAAGAGTAAAATATTTTTCGCACCTGTAATGTTATGCAGGCGCATACACAAGTCTTGCTGTCATGATTTATCACTGATATCTGTGATATCGTACGTAATTTCTAATAATATTAATTAATAAATAAAATTTAGGTTTCCTTGTGATTTATTTACCATTTACTGTACTTTATTATTCTGATAATCTATTATTAATATAAAAATTCATCACGTTTTAAAGATAACGTTATATCTAACTTCATAAAAATTTATCTTGGATATCAAAAAATTAAATTAATTTATTTTATAGTTCTATTTTAATTATAAAACACTGACCTAATGCATAATAGGATATGTCAAATCCCTGTTCGTTACTACGAAATTTAATAATAGAAAGATCAATACATCAAATGAAAATATATTAAATGAATGTGTAGCACTCAGATGTTATTTGGTAAACCGACTAGATTGTTAAACAGATTACCAAATAATTACGTTATAAACGATTAATACCGATTAAAAGTGATCGATACGTTATCATAAACAATACCGAAAACGATTACAGATCAATGTTTAATGTTCGCAATAAGCTAAGCAACTAAAATTACTTAAATCCCATTCCAAAAATGGTTTTAATAAATAACTTTCGATATTTATTTATTGGTCAAAAGATCAATTAAAAATAATAATCGATTGAATTATTAAAAAAATAATAAACAATAATAAATTAAAAAAATTCATTTTTGTCTCAAACAAGTTACAGTATTTGCGTATATAATAGTATTATTTATATAAATTGGTAATTATTTTTGAAAGTATTAAAAAGATTAATTAAAAATTTTCTGTGACCTTTTTTTGTATACATAATTTTTGATGTTCTTTTTTATATCCCTTTTTATATTTAGTAATTATTAATTCTTGATTATTAATTATTAATTATTAATTCTTGATTA